TCAAATTGAGGTGGCATTTACAAACCAGCTCCTCTTACATGGCCTCAACATGGATATAACATCTGAACTTCAGTAAGCTGGATGCTGTGCAGAAGAATGACACTTTCTATCCCAGTCACATCTAATTTACCAATCTATCACGACCCACAACTGCTTACCAGAGATATGAACGTATGATTATTTGCTTCAGCCTATGTAAGTTACATGACTGATATCAAAAGAGCGGTATTGTGAAGAATGGCTGTCAGTTTTCCCCAGTCTTCCGAGATGTTTTCTTTACCAGTTCAAGTGGAATGCAAGGTACAATTCTTCTCAGGGGAGGTGCATATACTTTTTTTCTTTTGGCAGTACTGGTGTTTGAACTCAGTGCCTCATACCTACTAGGCAGGTGCTGTACCAGTTAAGCCACACCACCAGTTCCTTCCTGCTTCAACTATTTTTTCAGATAGGGTCTTTCATTTTTGCCCGGGACTAGCCTCATAGCACAATCCTCCTACCATGGCCTGCAGAGCTGGGATCACAAGTATGGTCCACCTCAGCCCAGCTTATTGACTGAGATGGGGTATGGGTAATTTTTGCCTGGGCTGGCTTGGAACCTTAATCCTTGTATCTCTGTCTCCCAAAGTAGCTGGGATTACAAACATGAGCCACCATGCCCAGTGTGATCCATACACTTTACAACCTCACCTTGTAAATGTTTTTCTGGATTACAAGGAAATTTCTAATCAAAGGACTGGAACTGACTCACAGTATTCCCTCAGAACCTCAGGATGGTCAGGAGGTAACATTTAACAGTTAATGGATGCACGGTATGTTTTAACTGGGTAAAAAGTATGCTCACAGCCTTTAAAAATGTTAATGGAGTTTCCATCTCACTGTTATATTAGTTTCATTAATTTAGTCAATTTACAAAAAATGAGAACCTTAGAATTCAGAGGACCAAAATCATGCTGACATGAAAGAATTAATCTCTTTCATAGTTGCAACAGCAATTCTAAGAACTAAATTTATAATCAAATCTTATGATTTTTCCCCCTGAAAATCTTATGCTAACCAAATAATCTAGAAAAAGTAGTTTGAGCCACATTCAAGTTTTGCTTTCTAAAAGAACAAAAAGAAAGATCTCTACCTCCCACAGCACAAAGAACTACAAAGGGCCTAACAAAAGTTTTCCAGAACAAACGTTACTCAAAAAAACTGAGACCAACCATGGCAGAAATTCTCACTTGAATAAACAAGAGAGATAGCAGCAGAGAACAAACAGCCAAGAGCCATTGTGGGGGCTCAACACACAACCAATAGCTTGCAGCTTATATAAACTTAGCGTTTTTTAATCTTGGATAGGGCTCAAACAATGAACTGCATGAAAGGGACTTCCTGCTTGTCAAATGAGGTTATCTCTCCAGCAAGAGTGCAAATACCAAGGCATCATTAATGTGAGTGCAAGAAATACTATTTAATTTTTCTAATTATTTTTTAAATGGAAAATTATTTTGCATTTAAATAATACTCATTTAAACATATAAGATGTGCAACTATTGTTTTCAAGCTGAAATGATTTCTATGGGAACACATCAATTTTTTTTCTAAAGATGATGAAAAACTTATCTAAGTGATAGGAAATTACCTCATAACTAACTTTTCAATTTGTAATTTGGTACATTTTTAAAAATGGCACACAAGTAATGTTTTTCCAAGCTTCTCTCATACTTCTACTTTAGTTTGCTACAATTAATCTTCGAAACTCATAATGTGTTATTATAACAGCAATACGAGCAAATTCTTTTTGTTGTTAGTTTTTTTTACAACAAATTCTTAGGTAACCCTTTAGGAATCAGTAAAATTCCTTCTATTAAGAGATAAAATATGTCAATAAATTTTAATGCAAAATCAGCTTTCTCCATTTCATTTGAGAATAGGAAACAGTAGGAAAAAAGGATCATTCCAAAATAAATATTAGAAAATGCTTTAAAAAAAAAAAAACAGTGAATTTCTTTCTGTTTTAATTTCAGAGGAAAATGGGTTAACTAATGTTAGCTTTTTTTATTTTAAAATTTTTTCAGAACATATTTTATCATAAGTTAGTATAAGAAGAATATAAAAACAAAAATATAATACCATCAAGAACATGAAATTAAAAAACAAAGTCTCCAAGCAATACATGATTATAAAGTTGTGAAAATGTACTCAAAGTCCATGCAAAATTGTGTTTTCAGTGACATGGACGGTTAATATAAAGTTAAGAATGGTTTTCACCTACCATTGATGATGAAATTTTCAGTTTTTTCATTAGCATTAATCATTTTTCTTATTATCCTTCTGGTACTTACAACAGTGGTTTTCCTAGTGTAACAGCCTCAACCAGAATTTCTATGAATTTTCCAAGTTTTAAAACTCTAGCAATAGCTTTAATACACTAAGTTTCAGGCAGACCACCCAAAAAATTCTGATTTAAATTTTTTCTCACTCTTCTAAATACTCAGGAATTCCTGAATTATTTTTGCATTCAAATTTCCTCATTTTCTGAGATATGAATATATATTTCTTTCCTACCTTCAAAAAAAAAAATACAAAAAAGTGTCTTCTACCTTCAAAATACGTTTCACCTTGCATTACCTTTGTTTTTAATTCACTAATTAACCAAAACATCAAGTATACTATCCCAGGAGAAAACACCATAATAGTAGCTGTTAGCTATAAACTTTAAAGTAATTGTTTACTTTTTCATTTATGCATTAAAGTAGGAGCTAATTTATCTAATTAATATAACATAGTCACTGTACCATAATGTAGGAAGGTTAGGGAAAAGTTTTTATCAAAGGTCAAGTATGTACAGAATACATACACATAATGTTTGAATATCGTTTACATGTGAGATCCTTTTTTCATGCCCTATATCACTGACAATATTCGGATGTGTTTAATTCCGTACACACCACAGTATACAGGGCTTGACACATGCATTTTTATGGCAGCACAGTAGTACAGATAGTGTGCTTAATGTCAGCAGACAACATCTGTGTTACACACATGGCCATCAAAATAATCACAGCATGCTTTTGTGACACCAAAAGAGGCCAAGGCTGTTGTGAAATGATTACTTCCAACCAAAGCCTGCTTAAATTATTGTTTGGTTATATGGCATAGAGCCAAAATAACAGTATTATAAAGCTACTGAATCACTCACCAACTTTCAACCTATTTGTAAAACAAGATAAGCACTATCAGGTTATTAAAAATGATTATGGATCAGGATTTTTGATTTGTTTCTTTGACAAAATGATTCTATTTGATCCCAAGTCTTGGCTGTTCTCTTGGCAGACTAATATACATACCCCACAGCTGACAGGAGTATGGCTTTCATGATTAAACAGGAAGCTCACATTGCAGATGACTTTAGGCTCCAGATGAATTTCCAGTCTGCACTTTTCTTCGTGGTTTTAGTATCAGATCATTGCTTATCTTTTTCTAATTGTTTCCACTCTGACACACACAGAATCTATGTATTACCAAAAACTTAGGATGTTTTGTTATTTTTGCCTATTTTAGTCACATAGAATACCACAGAACATTATATCACCCTCTAAGGTAAGTTGTTTCCTTGATTTCTTTGGGAAAATGAAGGGGCTGTGTGGAAATGGAAAGAAAAGTTCAAAAACACAAAATGTACACTCTCCCCCGAAAGATTCTGTATTGTTGATCTTGAAAGAAAACACCAAATGAGAATCTGGTTAGATTTTGCTTATTACACTTACTGGAGGAACAATATTCAAACAATTTCCTAAAGGAAAGGATTAACAATCTTCTAGCTTGTAGCCCCTTTCTTCTGCAAAAGGATTACACCTGTGAAATTAGAATCCTGCACACCAAAAACGGCCACAGAATGCTGAGACTTCTAGCCAGCAGTTACTGTAGAATGCATAAAGCTGTGTAAAAAACGGATTCGCATGAGGAAATGCCCAGGGCCTACCCCACTGGGATTAACTTCTGAAATGACAAGGAAGGACGCTTAGCAGCTGGAACCTGATTTCTCAGCCTGCCAGCTCTATCAGAGGGGGGCGGTTTCCCTTCACCAGACTCAGCTGCGCGTTTTCCAAAATGTCTTAGTGATTTAAAACTGACGGGGAAAGAGAAACAAAACAGTAAGACCTCTGGATTCGTATCTCCACTGTAGTTAAATTGTTGGCAGGGCAAACCAAGCGCGCAGGCGCATCCTCAGGTTGGCAGGTAGAAACAGAAGTACTCATCATAATTAAGGAAGTGGCTATGGAAGCTCTACAGGCTTTTTGTTTCAGTTCTGTAGGTTAGTAGGAGTCATTGCATTTTTAATCACTACAAACAGCAGCAACGTTACTACTGAGTTGCCTTGAGAGATGTTTACTTAAATGTGGGAATAAAACCAGCTCGCCTGCGGAATAGAGAAATTATTTTCAGTGCAAACGTAGCAGTTATCCAGGTACAAACCCAGAGAACACAATCACCACAACCGATTAATGTGTTTCAACGAGTGAACCAGTTTATTTCCTCTCAAGAACACAACCAAGGGCGGGGGGTGGGGGGAAGCCTCCAACAAAGCCTAACAGAATCCTGCCTGCAACACGGGGGTTAGGTGCCGCTTATGTGTTCAATTCTGCGCCTCTCTGGGGAGCTGCAAGGGGCCTAGATGCTTTGGGGGGAAGCCGGGGGTAGACAAAGTTTTGTCCCCGTTGCAGGCCCGTGAATTCCAGCTGGGAGTTGGAGCGTTGACTAATCTTTGGGACGTCAAACTTAAAAGAAGGAACTCAAAGTTAACCCGCCCTGACACGTCCACCCAGTATCTGCGCGCAGGGGGGCAGCTGTCTCTCCTTCCACCGCGCAGAGACGCAGCTGCCCGCCGGTCACCGATCGGTGGTGACAACCTTCAGACAAAGCCACGGACCCCTGAGCGCGCACACACACACACACACACAAACACACACCCGGGCTGCCCACTCGTGGAATGCGCCCCCGGCCGTGCTTACCTTGATGCCCTGCTGCTGGGTGGTGAGGGTTAACTTGCATTCATCCAGAAGCAAAACTTCGCAGTAAAATTCTTCCGGAACAGCGCAGAAACAGCCCATGTCTGCAGCCAGGCGAGAAAGCAGCGACCGAGGCGCCGGGCAGCCCGCTCCCCTCAGGCGCGAGGCATTAATTTATTGTCCGCGCGGTGGCGAGGGCGAGAGGAGCAGCGTCCGCCGGGGTTCGGGGTCGGACAGCCGAGGAGCGAGGGGGGCAGGGAAGGCTTGGGGACTCAACGGCCGGGAGCCGCCGGGGCAGCGCCGGCGGAACTGGGCGCGGAGGGCGGCGGCGCGTCCCCGCGCATCCTGCGGCTCCGGCGCGGGCTCCTCTTCTGAAGGCAGGGGCCACGCGGCTCCTCCCGCAGACCTGGGAACGACCGGAGTCGCCTGGCAATAGAGACGAGCGCTCCAGACGCTCCCTCCGCCCGCACCAATCCGAGCGCGACCGCGACGCACCGGCCGCCCCTCGGCCCGCAGGGTCCCCAGCGGGTGCGCACTTCCAGAGCCGACCCCGCCCCGCAGCCCCCCACCTGGGCTGGCTGAATGGAAAGCTCTGGGCTTCCCTTTTGTGTCAGGGGGAGCCACAACGCCCACCCACAGACGCAGGGGCAGTGGCGAAGGTCGTCACTCCCTCGGCCATCCCCATAAGACCCCAATCCGCGGGCACCGAGAGGCCCGAAGATGAGAAAGGACAGAGTGCGCCTTACCGACACTAGCGAGGGGAGATCAGCTCGTCGCGGGGTGCGGCTTCCGTCTGGGGGCTCCGGAACACATCATGGGAAGGGGAGAACGGGAACGTGTACGGCCAAGTTCAAGCTCTCCCTCTGGGAATGCCCTGCGTCCGCGGCGAAATGCTGCTTCTGCAGAACATTCAGAAAAGCCGGGAGTCGGGGGACCTGCGGCCGGCTGAGGTCGCAGCGGGAGGGCGGGGTGCGCCCTGGGCGCGCCGAGCCGCGCAGGCTCCAGGGAAAGTTCTTTTGGCAGCGCGAGGGGCGGCACCTGGGCGGAAGCAGCCCAGGTACAGCGCAGCCCGACCCAGGCGTCTGCAAAAAGGCCCGGAGCCGAGCTGGAGCCCCCGCGACAGCGGCGGGGGCGTCCCTTCTGGGCGGGGTCTCCGCTGGGGGCGGGGGGCGGAATTGAGGAGGTCCGGATCGTTAGGTGCCCGCAGGTCGCGGCGAGATAGCCGCACGCTGCGCGCGACTGAGCCGCGGTCGTGAGGTCGTCGTGTCCGTATCCCTAGGAGACCCGGAGGCTGGCGCCGGGAATGCAGGGCGCAGTTCTGCTTCGACCCCAGCGTTCGGCGATCCCGGTCCCACGCCCTCCGCGCGGCCGGCCGCGGCCGGGACTGGAGGGCACAATAGCGCTAAGGCTGCAGTGACCCCTGGTGGGTCTTCGTGTCTGTGCACAGACAACAGAGGCTGAGCTGTGAGCGAGGCAGGGCCCTGCTGGCCCAGAGAGCAGGTGCAGTGTGCGCTCTCCAGCTGGGAACCACAGCTAGTGAACGCGAATCGCAGTCACAGGAGACACAAGAGGAGGACGCGAGGTAAGAGGGGACCGTAGCCCCCTCCCCCAGAAAACTGCTCTATACTGAGTATTAGAAAGAGCAAGGACTTTGGAATCAGACATAGTTTTGGGTTCCCTCCTCTACCACTTGTTCGCTTGGGTAGACAAAGCTAAAAAATATTGCTTAAAACCCAGGATATAGCGCTTTGCACGGAAGGGAGGGAGGGAAAACTGGCTACGGTAGCACCTTACACTTAAAGTGAACAGTTTGCAAAATTGAGGGGGTTTCCTTCCGTACAGTGATTTGCCGCAGTCTTCTACAGGAAGCCTCATCCTTCCCTGCTATTGTGGCCCCATCTAAACAGTGCATCTGTACAACCTCCAAAGTATGATATGAATTTTACCTAAAGTAATTAATAAAGCCCTATTTTGTTTTCCAAGGACTCTATGAAATTGAAGTAGGTTTTGAAATGCTAATCAAATACTCAATGGGTTTTATTGTCAAAGTTTTGCCCAGCTTATGAGCTGACACCTGTGGGATTTAACATCTTTGCTGTGAAGGCTTTTCTTTTCTGTAATACAGTTTTCTTTGGTAATCACCAATTACCAAATGTGACTGAAAGATGTAATTAATTGTATTCTTTACCACAATATCCAACAGAGGCACATAAGCTTGCAAAAACAAAATGAAAGACACAAGCATAATCTTTTGTTTCCCAGTTTGACTTTTGCTGCCACAAGTTTTATGCCCTTTGTTTTTTGTTTGTTGTCTCTGATGGTAATGAAAAGGCTTCACACAGAGGAAGGTGCAAAGCCATGACATGCCACAAATATGACAGCCTTTGCTGAGTGAGGCATTTCCTTTACTAGTACTTTAACAGGGACTACAGAAAAGAAAATGAAAAATCTGTTTAACAAAAAATTAGAGCTTCCTAAAGATAAGAAAATTCTACAGCTTTTAGCAGCATTACTGAGTATCATTGGCATAACATAAACTGCATATATTTAAAGCAAACAATAAAGTTTGACATGTTTCATAAATTTTTATATCTATAAAACCATCATCACAAATACACCCATCACTCCCTAACATTTTCTCCTGTACCCTTGTAATCCCTCCGTCCCATGCATAACCATACCCCACTTCCAGGCAACCACAGATCTGCTTTCTGTCACAGATTATCTATGCTCTCTCAAGTTCTATCAATGGAGTCACACCATGTGAACTCTTTTGTCTGGTTTGTTTCACTCAGTACAATTATTTTGAGATTTATTCATGTTGTGTATAGAAATAGTTCATTCAATTTTTATTGCTTAGTAGTACTCCATTGTATGTGTATACTACAATGTATTTGCCCATTCATTTGAGTAGTTCTAGTTTTGGCCTATTACAAATAAAGCTTCTATGTAGACCATATCAGTCAGCTCAGCACCATAACAAAACACCATAGACTGGGTAGCTTTATGCAACAGACATTTATTTTCTCAGTTTTCTGGAGGTCTCCAGTCCAAAATCACCAAAATGGAGCAGGTGCCAGCATTTCTGTTAAGACCCATTCCTGGCTTGAAGATAGCCTCCATCTTGCTGTGTTCCAATGACTTTTTTATGTGTTCATGGAGAAAGAGAAGGAGAGAGAGAACCACCTCTCTGGCGTGAATTGTAAGGCCATAAATCCTTTAGCATCAGGGCACCACTCTAATGACCTCATTAACTTTTGTTTCCTCCTTATAGACCCATCTCGAAATATATCTGATCATTAGGTTGGAGTTTCAATATAAGAATTTTGAGGAGACAAACCACTCCATAGTAAGAATTTATATCTGTATATGAACATGTGCTTTTATGTCTTTTTAAATAAAAAGTCGACTGACTGGATCAGAAGATATCCAAATGTCAAATAAGCACACGGAAAGACGTTCAACATCATTAGTCATTAGAGAAATGCAAATTCAAATCACCACACGATATCATTACAGAGCTAATTCGATGGCTGTCATACCACCATACCACGTGTTGGTGAGTAGTCTTGACACTGCTGGTATGTACATAATATGACACATTGGCTAACAGTTTGCCACTTTCTTGAAAGCTGAATATTCATTTTCCAGAGGATTTTGTAGGAAGACTTTCTCTGTCTATCCAGAGAAACAAATTCACAAGATACTACTGAAACAATTTTTTCCAGAAAAATCAAGTAGCTTTTCAATGTTCCTAACATAATGCATTCTATTTAAAGCTTGAATCAAAGTCTTTGATGTCTTTTTAGTTTTTTAATAAAAAATATTTTTAATCGATATTTGTGAAAATAAACCTAACACAGATGAGTCAAATGGAACACAAATTCAGAATAGTTATAATTCTATGGAAATATGCCAGCCATCTGTGAAGGGCTTCAAGACTCCTCATCCTGGAAGAAGAGATTTCACTTTACATAAAACATCCCCCTGAATGTGATCAAAGTACATTTATATACATGAATGAAGATATCATAATGAAACCCATTAAAAATATGCAAAAAGAATCCCCCACCCCTGGCTAAAACAGGTACTGCAAAATGCCAGGCACAGAATTCCTTTAAAGGATATGGTCTTTTTCTCTTTAGGAAGATGCATTTAAACAACCCAAGTCTTTGGTTATCTTTTCACAGTTTTACATTTTCCAAACTTCCAAAAGTTAACTGTAATTCGAAAAAGAAAACAAAACTTGAAAACATTGATGATAAATAATTTCATTACTTAAATGCCCAAGAGTAAGGCAGCAGAATCACCAGGAGGACTTGTTAAAACACAGATTCCTGGTCCCCACCCCCCAGAGTTTCTGACTGAGTAGAAACAGAGATTTTGTCTTTGTAACAAGTTCCCAGGTGACATGTTGATACAGCTGATTGGCAAAGACTTTGAAAACCACTGCTCTAGAAGTATCTTTCCAAAAAATAATAAAAACTGTTCCTAATTACCTATGAATAACTTGGGGTAGTTGTATGTTATTCTCCCTCATCTATCAAATTAACGCCTGCAAAGTAAGAGTATCAAAGACCCTGGCAAGTAGATAATAGCAGAAAGAGCAATTTTTAAGGAAGGGAAATAGCCTGTTTTGGTCTCATCATACACTTCCTAGTCTATCTGGACACCATACTCACTTTTCTTTCTCATATATGCCCAGGCACATCCAGTTTTTAAGACCATCTTGCCTTTGACTCACTTCACATACATGGCATTAACCAGCTATCCTCTCTCTTAGATCTCATTTATTGAAATGCCTCAAGGCTGTTACCACATTGCAAGAGAAGTCATCTTCCAAGATTGCCCTGCCATCTAAAGCTGTTTCTTTAACCATGTGATTACCAAGTAAATGTGCTTTGGGGTTACTGAGAGTTCTTACTTTGCACAGTTACTAATCTTTATTGGTGAATACATTAAAATGGTTTGTGTTTGGCATAAGTGGTTTAGAATTTTTATTTTGGAACATCCTATTCTCCCTTCTCTGTTCAAATATAAGCTAGCAATAAATAAATAAATAAAAAGGGGGTGGGAGAAGCTAGTTGAGATGTCTAGTCCTTTCAGAGGCAGTTTTAAATTTTTAAACAACGGATTCTCAACTTTTGTCTATTCAATTGAGACAGGATCCAAAAGTTGGCAAGAGTGGGATAAAATGGGCCTTGTGATGCCCATTAACAGTAAGTTAACTCCATTTTTCTGGATTGTGATCTGTCAGAAATTTAAATATGCATGCACTTTGATTCAGAAATTCAGCATCTAAGAATTTAACCTCATGAAATAAGAGGCATAGATATCTGTGAAAAGATATTTACTATGTCATGTTGACAATATTAAAACTTTTTGAATAGTCTAAATGCCTAAGAACAGGGAGTTACTAAATTAATTATAGTGTATGCATATAATAGAATACCCAGAGAAGAGTAAGCATGTATATGTATAACATACTGTCATGGAAAGTTATCAAGCAGGAAGATCCATTTTATTTTTTTTAAAGAAAGTTTGCAATTTTTACAATGAGCATCAATTAATTTAAACTGAAATTGATTCTTATATTCACCCAAAAAATGCTGTC